CCCCTCCTCAGCTCTCCTTGCATACCTCTGTAGCCCACAGGGAATCACCTTACCCTGACAGCCACTCCATCCCAGAGGAGACTGGCAACTCCAAAGTTTCTCCTTCCCACTGACCACACTGGGGACCCCAGGAGGCAGCAGTGCACAGGTGCATGTACAAGAGGTGGGAGGACGTTGGGTGCCAAGTGGGCATAAGAGCATTTGGACTGCTTATAGGATGTTGCCTTGCCTCCACCTGCCTCCTGGGGCAGCAGCTGGCCTCTGGTTGTGCCCTGAGGCTTTCTCTTGCTGTCTGTCTCATCTAGAGTCCGAGTGCCGGGGGGACCCTGTCCGGGATTTTCACCGGGTCCAGAGGGGCTATGCCATCTGCCAAACCACGCGCCCGCTATCATGGGTGGAGTGCCGGGGCACGTGCCCAGGCCACGGCTGCTGCCAGGGCCTGCGGCTGAAGCGGAGGAAGCTCACCTTCGAGTGCAGCGACGGGACCTCTTTTGCTGAGGAGGTGGAGAAGCCCACCAAATGTGGTTGTGCCCCCTGCATTTAGGTGGCATGGAACAGGCAGCGCCACAGGAAGGGCAGCAGAGCTGGCAGCTGGTTGGGTTATGGGCATCACTGGAGCAGTGTCTGGACCCTGGTGGGTATGGAGCCTCACCACATGACAGCCCAGCAGAGGGGCAGGTTGGAGTATGGCTGCCCTCTCTGGAAGTGCCTTGCCCAAATAGGCGCTCAATAAATATTGTTGAATGAACATGTGCGTGAGCTCAGGCCATTGAAAGGCACAATGGTGGAACCTTCTGTTAACTGGGTCTGCAGAAGGGGGCTGACACCTTTCTTTTTTTTTTTTTTTTTTTTTTTTTGTCTTTTTTTTATCGGTACCGGGGATTGAACTCACGACTGCCTGCTTGAAGGCAGGCGCTTATGCCGCTGAGCTAAATCCCCAGCCCCAGCTGACACCTTTCTAAAGCAGCTTTCCTCCTACCCTGTGGCCCAGGCTGGCCTGAAGCAGGCTCCTGGCCTCAGAATCCCCTGGCTCCTCTGCTTCCCTAGGGAGCTGGGCAGCGACCCCCTCCTGCAGAGGAAAGGACTAACTCTTCTTGGTGAACTGGTCCCACTCTTGGCACTGTTTGAGAAGAAGCTTGGGAGTGTTGTGGTTCTTGAGACCAGGCCTCAGAATCCTTAAGTGTAGGATAACCACTGTAGTTTCTACAAGAGGGCTCTTGTGGAGTAAATAGCCACTAGGGCTACTTTGGGTGGCAGGCCCCAAGTAACAGAGCTCAACGTTTTTGGTTCTAGTTGAACAAACCTTAGCCCAGAAAAAGGTCCTGGGCCTGAGATTCCCCAACCACCAGCTAGCCACAAGCTGTCCATGAGCTGCTGGCTGAGGGGCAAGATGCAGAGTCTTCTCTATCAAGGCTGGCGCTAAGCCTCTTGCATTGTCAGTCAGAATGGAGCAGTGAGGGCCCTGGAAGCTCTTAATCTGGGTGAACTTCTTTCTGCTCTCAACTGGACTTCCTCATCTATCAAATGGGGGAGTGGCTGGCAAAAGGAAGCAGGTATATTCTACTATGGCTTCAGAAGGGAGGCCCAAGGAGTTACAAGGTCCACTTTCATAGGTTGCGTCAGCATTTATGTGGCTACCCCAGGGATGGGTACTGTTCAGTGTTTTAGCCCTAATGGCAGATATGAACTAGTCCCCAAACACTACACGTACAACCAGAGTGCCTGGGAAGAGTACAGCCCAGTGGGGGCTCCAGCCAGACAATGGCCAGTATTGCGTACCTCGGTGTTTGTAACGAAGGCCCTGTGTGAGACAAAGCTGCTGGCTACATGATCATCTGACAAAAAACATCTCCACGTTTGGTTTTGAGCCTAAACAGTGAATTGCTGTAGGGAAGAAAGGTTACACTCTTCTTTCCCAGATGTTTTCCCAAGAGGGAAGAGTCTCAGTGGGCAAAGATGAGCATGTCCCTTTGCTAGCATGTCCAATCTGAGGATTGGAGTACGGAGGTTAGAGTGGCCTTGTGGCAGTGTCCTTGCCCATATGGGCATCAAGGGGAGTTCTTGGTGCTGGTTAGTAGAGCGTGTGCAGCTTCAGCAGGGTCATGCGACTGCGGGATGAAAAAAAGGCCCTTCTTTGTCCAGCTAGGTAGTGTCCTATTGTTAGATTTGCCCCTCCCCAGGAAACCAAGTCTTTGTTATAGTTCTAAGTAAGGCCATAGGGCCTGTCCCCATCCTCCTGGGTTCTCTTGAGGACACTCCAAGTGTTGTACAGCATCTCCCTCTTACTCCAAGTTTCTGGGACACTAGCCTGCATGGGGCAAAAAAATCACTAAGGCAGTTGGCTTGTCCCTTCCTGGAAGGAAAGTGTTCCAGTTTTACCTGCCCAGAGGAAATTAGCTTCCCTAGCCAGCACCACTTCCCAGTGCCTGAAGAGACTAACTCCTTGGCCTGTGTGTTACTGGTGAAAGATGGTCTTTTTGCTCTGCAAAAGTGTCAGAAGCACCTGCAGACATGTGATGCCACCCCTACTCCAGAACTGTGGGATGGGACAGACTGGTGTGCTGGTTCCCAGGAAGCACCTTGTGATCCTACAGCTGCCCCACTGACAGCCCCTTCACACTGGTCATGCACCACTGGCATGAGGGCAGCAAGGGGCCCAAGACAAGCCTGCACTCCAGGATCAACTTTTCCTCTAACTTAGCCACCAACCTACAAGTTGCTACAGTCTGGGTCATCATTCCCATTGCCTGTTCACACTCGGCTGAAGTTTGGGGAGAAGGCATCTACAAAATCACCCCTCCAAGGAATCACCCATACATCTAACTACCCTTTGGTAAAGATCTTCAGTTTGCTTTGTGGTCACCACTGGCTGCATCCATTCAAGGTGTACTGAAGAGACCCACAGGGCGAGTGTTGAGGAAGGTGGTGCTCGGGCAGCACCACTGGAACAGTGGAAGAGGCTCCCTGATGGTGTTAGGAAATGGAAAAGGCCACCTGTTTCTCCTCTCTGCCTGCTGTTAGCCTAACCACAAAAGTGTCTCTTTATACTGAATACTTACAGATTCTAATATATATTTGTATTTCATTTTGTTATAGTATTTTTATATGTTAAAGTCAACATCCAGTGTCTTGTTTTGATTTTCAGATGCTATGTGGTTGTGACCTTTTGTTTTGGGTTTCTGTGGTTTTGTTTGCATTGACTTAAAAGACTGGTTTAGAACAGCTTGTGAGGAAGGCACACCTACCCTTCCCCTGGAGTATTGTTTTAGTCTATGTCAATATTGTCTATTGTTTTCCATGTGAACATGACATTGATTCACTTGGATTCTGCCTGGTTTTTTCTCAGCCTGAGGTGAGCCTACTGCTGCCAATACTCACCTCTAGGGCAAAAGGACTTCTGGGCTGACTCTGCAATGGCTACCGTCCTCACATGCAGGGTGTCTGCCCTGGAACTCTGGTCCTCCTGAAGTGGAAAAGGAGGTTTATCAGTCCTAAGGAAGGAAGAGGTCTGGGAGTCACAGCTCCTCAGGGGTCTGTGGATGGAATGCAGAGGGGCCCAGCAAGTTTGCCTCTAGGGAGGCAGCTTAGTCTCATCTCTGCTACTCACTGCTACACTGACATTTTTTATGCTTGTCCAAAGCCACACACACATTTAACATGGCTTAGAGAGATTCACAGCATCTGGCTGCAGATTCAAAAGCAGTGTGTTTTCTTAAACATCCTGTAAGGTACCTATTATCTCTAGATCAGTGATTTTTAGGAATCACTAGAAAAAGGAGGAAACATACGTCTGTAGGGGTTTTGTCATTTTCTTAAACCAAACATTGCACTTAAAAGAGTCTGAGTATGTGGGTGATGTTGGGCCCTAGCAGATAGGAGGTCCATGTAACATGATGGAAAAGCCTGGCCCTCCTCTGATGCTAAGACCATGGGCTGATTTCCCATGAACTAAGCCACCTTGAAAATGCACAATGATGGTAAATCCAGTACCTTCAAAACAATGGGACAATTAAGGATTTTGGAGGGAACAGAACAGGGTGTAGGAGAGAAAATAAGACCTGGCAGAGTTTTATGCTCAAGTGACTGGGTACCTAAGTAAATCAAATGGGCAATATCTTACTCCTTCAGTTTCTTTGCTACTTCTGATAAAACAGCAGGTATAGATTTGCCTACTGTAAAGTGATAAAATAGCAACTGACACAGCTAGGGATGGTGGTAACCTACAGAGCATTTAGCAATCTACTGAGCACCAGGTAACTCATACCATGAGCTAATTTTGTCAGATCATCATATTTTCAAAAGAGACACCAAAAAAAATCTCTTCTTTATGCTAAAATGCTTAGAGTATAGTGTATATATGTAAGTTGGGCTAAACGAAACACCTGTGTGGAATTTTGCAGCCTCTGAGAAAAAGGCTGAAGGCTGCTGAGTTATCTTCTCTGGATTTAGTTCCTCACTGGTTCAGTGGGTCCTTAAATAGACCCATCCTAAGCAGAACTGAAAGAATACAATGATTCGATCCCCGGAACCAGTAAAAAAAAAAAAAAGAAAGAAAGAATACAATGAAAGGAGACCAGCATAGGGAAGGACTTTCTGTCCGCCTTCTGCCACGCTCCTCCATGAGGAGTTTGAACTCTGTTACTCCCTACCTAATGATGAAACACATTTTTCCAAACCTACTATTGTAGTCCCAAGGATTCATTGTATTTTTTTCTTGCTTAAAATTAGGCATAACCCACAGAACGATTTGCAAAATGTGTATTTCTTTTCTTTCTTTTTTTTTTTTAGCGGTACCAGGGATCAAACTCACAACCACGCGCTTGCAAGGCAGGCGCTTATGCTGCTGAGCTAAATCCTCAGCCCCAGAATGTGTATTTCTTTAAATCCCAACACCAGGGGTACTGCTTTTGGGTTCCTTTTGTTTACTTGCCAACTTGGCAGCAGGCTACAAGTTGAATGATCAGCTTAAATTTACCCTCTTCAGTAATTACACAAACACATTTTAATATCAAAGAAATTTAATATGCTGCAATAAAATAAGCGCCTTGAAAAAGCTCATGGAATAGATGTCAGTGTTAGAGAAATCCCTCCCACACATCCTCCAGTTCCGTATTCCATCCCTCAAAACCAAACAAGAAAATCTGAAACAACACAGGAAATCCTTCCCAGCTTGGATTTTAGTGGGGGCCCCTTTACCAATAACAAGAACACAGTTTCCTACATGGTCTACAGGAAAATAAAACATAGAAGCACAAAATGTCTACAAGAATTCAAGATTTAAGAAAACTGGTACATATTCAAAGTTAAAATAACTCCAACTTTTATAGCTATACATACTGTTTTAAAGCAACTTAATATATTTTAAAATTTTCATATATACACTCTCAAAGGTTTTTCAGGTGAGGTATGTAAACATTGTCTAATGAAAAATTTTCATTGTTTCAAACCAACAAATTCACAGCATACATTAAATTTTCATCCATTAAAGACACAGTATTCTCCTAGACTAATATAGTGGAAATCCAGGTTCAAGAGATGCACACTGATCCTCCAGGTTAACATTTGCAGAATTTGTTTCACTGCTTTTTCTAGAAATACACCCTTCACACGGGCTATGAACACATACCTGGCTCTGCCCTCTGGAGGCCCTGTCCTTGGGCATCTGGAACACTGGCTAAGACTTACGAGACAGCAAAAAGGAGCACATCTTAACAACTACAGATTGACCTCAGCAGTGACAACACTGGGAGGAACCAGAAAGATCTTGACAGGAACGGTAGAGATTCATCTCAGAGCTCCCTGAATCTACAGCCAGATCAGCAGGCCCTGTCCTAAACTCACTCTGAAGGGTTGTGGCCTAAAAAACGATACAAATCCAACATGGCACCTGAGCTTCAGTTAAACTGCATGGGCCTCCAATGACCACTTGGCCCCTTAAAGGCATTGATTAGCCTCTAAGGACCCTGGACTGTGCTTTTCATACAGGTTGGGGTTGAATTTCATAATATGGTAATACATATGGGAAAATAATGCCATGAGTTCACAAAATTGCCAATACATACAAGTCTTGGCCAAAGAACTTGGAGGAGCTCAACTTTGAAAACTACTTGTTCCCTGAGGGTAAACAGCAGGCTTCTATTGAGACTGAGGCTAAGGGGATTTTTATTACAAAGTATTAAAGATTTGGGAAGCCTCAGGCCAGAATTCTATTTTACCTCCACAAAATCTACAATGACCCTCCCCCCACCCCACCACAAGTAGTCACCTCCCCAACCACACAATATAGGTCAATTTCTTTCCTCTTTGCTTGCTTTCTGGCTCGGCAATGGAAAGTTTTATTCTAATGCACCTACTTCAACCTAAAACAAAAACAAAACACTAGTGAAAAGTCCCAAATACCAGCATAATTACAAAAGAGAAGACATTCCAAAAGCCTATAAAACTACATTACTTCCATTAATGGTTATCTGGGTGTGGGGTATTTCTTTTTCACAAATTTTAGGATGGTCACAAGGAGAGGCTGCTAAACAGCTTTAGGAACCTGTTGAGCTGCACACGCTAGAGGAAATGAAGGAGAGACTGCCTCTTTACACTAACCTAAAAGGCTGAAAGCAGCCAGATACAGGGCAGCAGACATGTCAAGCCCAGGGACAGGAGGCTGGTATGAAGTGAGTTGGTATATAAAGGTGGGTCAAACATAGTCAAAAGTCTTTAGCCACTTCATTTCATATGTGAAAAACCCTTACATTTAGTCTGTAGCCAAACTAGATTTGCCTTAACTAGATTCTAGACTATATGTTCATAGATAATTGCTTTTTAATTTACATGACCACTTGTGACATGTCTGGTGTGGGCAGATTTCTCATTTTTTACTACAGGTTTGTGACACGAGGGAGCGTGCAGACAAACAGAAGCAAAAATTCAAGTACAGCAACCTCTCCGGCAAAGGCAAGAGGGCGACAAGAGCTGTTTTACCCCGACCCAATCCTCTGAGACAAGGGCAACTAGGACCCCAAACAAGTCATCATCTAGGGTCTTATTGCTTGAGGGCAACACATCAGAAAGAAAACCTAGAAATCTGCTCTGCAGATCTGCGTACTGATCACCAACTTCTCATTTGAAAATATATATTCAAATAAGAGGGGCCATTGAAAACTAAAGCTTGGCTATGATGTTATACTACAGAGCAAAGGCCCCAAACAGCTCTCAACCTGATGGCTTTGTTCTTTCTCCATGTGTGAACTAGTTATGAAAGGAAGTTCACTGCTTAAAATATATTCTTCTACAACACTACAATGCAAACCAACATCACTCAGGACATAAATCCGTATACAGCACATGTAATAAATATTTTTATAAAACTATTTACAGCATTACTTTCTGTGAACATTTAGATGAGAGCAAAATCTATTTCTTTCTGCAAAGGTTAAAAAAGTTTTGACTGTCTAGCTCAGTGCTAAATTTCCCTGGCACCTATTTACTCATTCACATTTTATTTTAAAATTGGATTTGCTTACAAATAGTATTTTAGAAAAACATTCTCCAGCATCATTCTTCAAGCATGCCCCTCATTTATTTAGAAAAGATGGAGGCCATAAGGAAATATAAACTATGGTTTCAACAGATGACCGCTGTGGAACTAGTTCCAAAGCACCCAGCATCCTGGGCCTGTAGATCTCAGTCCAGCCAGCTAGGTAGAACAAGATTCATGATGCAGGCAGAAGTACCCAGGAACAAGAGGACAGAGAAAGGAACAATATCAAAAAAACACTGGTTCTGTTATATGTAGGGTGCTCTGAATAGCAGACCAGGACTCCTGAGAAATAAAGCTGAACACATCTTAGAACAGATGCTTCATTCTGTAACCATGCTACAGCCAGGACTGGCCCACATCTGCACAAATGCTTGCTGAGACAGGGAGATGGAGGATGATGATGACAGCCAAGGTACCCACAAGTATTATCAAGGTGCAGAAAGTGGCATGCTTATCTTCTATGGTGAGGGTGTGAAGAGATCTCTCACAAACCCAGGAGAAAGACTAGAAACACACACATTAGTGCTGTCTTCAGGCAACCAGTGGTTTCTCCTTCTCTCACAGGTAGAAGTTTGAATTTTCTTGGGGATACAACTAAGACTCATTTCCCTGCACAGGCTGTGCAAGTGAGCAGCTGAACGTGTCAATGGTATATACAAGAAATAGACTCCTTGAGGCAAATCTTAACGCCATACCTGGCATGGCCATACCTCCTGCGGCAGCCCCACTTTGTTCTGGAATGAGGGTGCCAGTGGAAAAAAGTGCTCAGATTTCAAATTCATGCAGTACCTGCCCAAATACAGTGAGGACTTCAAGGCCACACCCTTCTGCCTTCACTGTGTTAAGTGTTCAATGGCTGAGCACAGTAGTTAGTTAGGAAGGATGGATGGCAAGAACAATTTTTGGAAAGCCCTTTTGACAGTTCATTTTTTTTGTTAAAATAAATACTTTGTATAGAAGCATTTGAACAGGAAAAATACCACTATTTACACAGTGAAATGAATTCCACAGAGGTGGGTATAAATATGCATTTTATATATATATATATATATATTTGAAACCAGTTACTAAGTCTTCTAGAACTAGTTAGAATGCAGAAACCACTAGTAAAATCAATAAACTTAAGCTACAGTGGCTCTCAAAATAATCCCTACCTGTTATACAAATATACAAAATTAGGAAATATTGTTTCTATAGTATCTTTCCCACAAACTAGCTTCCAAATAGTGCAGCATTGGCTACAAGACAACATGCACTGTAGAGCAAACAACTGGTAGAAAAAAGTTGGTAACTGATGGTATTTGGACCCAATATCTAATACTAAAAATAATGAGTTACAAAGAAAAAATGTTTCTCATCTGTGTTCAGTGAAGCACTTGAGAGGAGAGAGAATGTCCCAGAGAAGACGCCACCTGGAAGAGGTTAGTGGCATAAGCAGAAGAGGGAGATAAGCAAGTTTCCAAGGATGGCTCCCCCATAAGGTGGTAACTCTGGTGTGACCAGAGTTGGACTTCAATGGCCAGGACAGAGTGCCCTGAACTTTTTCAAATTAAAACTGCTGGTGTGTCATAAGGGGCCATCAACATGCTGGTATTTAAAGAATGTATGAGCCAGGAGTAGTGATGCACACTTGTAATCCCAGCACTCTGGAGGCAGAAACAGAAGGATCCCTGTGGGTTCGAGGCCAGCCTGGGCTACATAGTGAGTTCAAGTCCAGCCGGAACTACATAATGAAACCCTGTCTCAAAAACATAAATAAATAAATAAAAATAACAATAATGTGTGGTCTGGATTTGTGGTTCAAGCAAAGACCATTCACAAGTTCAAGGCTTGGAGAGTAATAAACTTGCAAATATCCTAGATACAAAAAGACTTGGAGGGCTTAAGGGGGACAACTAATGACCCTGTACTTTCAGGGAGAGGCACTATTCTAAACTGCAAATACATAGTTTATATGGAGCACAACCATAGTGGAATGTCTCTACCAGAGGCAAGTTCACTGTGATTCATAAAATGAATATACCATATAAAAATGGTTCACAGTGAACCTTTAGAAGGTTTTGTATTTTAATCATACACCCTAGAAGACTGAATGCTCATAATTTATCAATATTGAATAAGCAAAGGGAGATATTTTTTCTTATGCAAAAACATCATTCAAGAATAATATTTTGTAGGATACAAAATGGGAAAAAATATGCAATGGCAGCTGTGTACTGGGATGAAAAGACAAGATACACAAAATCTAAAAGAATTATTGCTATGCTATACTACATGAACAAAAATGTTCGCCTATTTGTCCACATAATTTAATCCTGAATGACTATTATAGGGATCAGTAAACATGTGCTGTAAAAGGTTAGGTAGTAAATTTTTTAGTGTGGGCCACATAATTTGTTAATACAATCCTTTAAAAAACAAAGGTGAAATCCATTCATCTAGCCTGATATAATACCATGGGTATCTGCCTACTTTTTCCAAGTAGGCAGCCCTGGCTTTTATGCTTGCACACTACATTTGTTAACTGGGATGGTCCTGATGGGTGAAAAAGCTTCAGTGTCTATGCTCAAACTGACATAACTGCACCACCTCTCTTGGTGCACAGGGAGCCCAGGCTGTGTCTTGAGCACTGTGTACAAGCTACTGAGGCTCTTAGAAAAGGAGAAACCGACAGAGGTAAGATTACCAAATGAAACGACCAGCTGTGCTTCAACTGCAAGGGCAAAAGCATGAGCAAGGACATCTTTTACAAAGCACTCAAGGTGGTTCTTAGGGGCTGCAGGGAGCAGAGCAGAGCAAAGCACTAAGCTGAGAGCACTATCGGAGCCCTCTGGGTTTCTGTGAATATGACATCCAAAGGAAAGAAGTTGAGCCATCAAGGTTTCCAACCCACTCAGCGTAGAAGACAGGACTCTGTTCTGGCGTTTCAAGGTTTAAATTATGTTGAAGGCTGTCTCAAAAGGCTTCTCCTAATTTTGCTTGTTTTATTTTTTTGAGACAGGGTCTATGTAGTGCAGGCTGACCTCAAACTCTTGGTGATTCTCCTGCTTAGCCTCTCAAGTGCTGGGATGAAAGGCACATGCTACCTACCATGCCTGGCCTCTACTTGCTTTAAATAAAGTAATTCTTCATTTTTCTCCGAAAAGAATTTGGGAACAAGCATGGGGAAGAGTACATACTGCTTGGATATGAAGATTGCCTTGCAGATGATATACATAGATTCAATTTTATACTTTAAAATATTTCAGTGGTATTAAGCCATAATAAGACATAAAATTAATAACTAAAAATTCAAAATAATTGGGCTGGGGAGTATAGCTCAGCGGTAGAGAGACTGCCTAATGTGCATGAGGCCCTGTGTTTGACATCCAGCATCATAGTCTCTCCAAAAAAACCATGTTTCAAAACATTAAGATAATCACTGTTTGTAAGTCACTGACAAAAATTTTTTCACTGACATATGAACTACACTTTGAAAAGTAGCAAAGGTATCCATGAGTTTTTTTTTTTTTTTTTTTTTTTTCTGGAATAAAAACATCTTAGAGGAAGTTGACTGGATTTGAACTAAAGACACAATCCATAATCTCTCAGTCATAGAATGGCAGTTAACATTTTTAATCATTCTTTTCTAAAGCACTTCAAATGCCTGAATTTTTTATTTGTTGGCTTGTTTTTTGGGGGAGGTGGTACCAGGAATTGAACTCAGGACCTTATGCTTACCAGTCAGGTATTGTACTGCTGAACTGCATCCTCAGTCCCTATTAGTTTACTTTTTAAATTACTTTTGCAGGAATATGACTGAAGGGCTGGGAGTTCAGTTTACCCTGGCAAGTGCAAGGTCATGAGTTTGATCCCCAGTAACAAAAAAAGAAGAAAGAAAGAAAGAAAGAAAGAAAATGTGACTGAAGAAATATCAATTCCAAAGTATTTTTATTTTTTCAAAAGCTGACCTAAAACATAAGAAAAAAACATTGCTTTGGGTTGGTTGTCAGGCTTTGTTTTCACTCTGTAAAAAGCCTTTTCCTCATCTAAATGTGGTATTTGAAACGCTAAAGGTTCAACTAAAGTCCCTAACCTAAGGCAGCTCAAGTTTAAAGAGATGGTAGTCCATGTACTCTATCAGTATGCTTCCTTTGCAGTAAGAAACAAAGAAGTGCATAATAAATTAGGATAAAGAAGGAAGCAAGGAAGAGAACAAGAGGCAGAAGAAACAAAATTTGGAGAGATTTTGTCTTGAAAAAGCGTTATTTTTTTGAAGCAGGGGAAAGCAAACTAATTCTTAAAGGTCTCTAGAGTATTTAAAGCTTTGTGGACTTAGGGTCTCTGTGGCAATTGCTCTGCCCCACAGATAATCAATAAGCAAATGGGCAAAGCTATGTTCCAACAAAACTTTATTTATACAAACAACCAGTTCACAGTGTGCAGACCTTCAGATCATCTGCAAGCCAAAAGAATCCTACACCAGTTTACCTGAAAACAAAAGGGGCAGGATGGCTCCCTGTCCACTAGCCGGTTCCTTTTGGGGTATTGTAGTCCTGACCCAAGTATCGTCACAAGACACCAGACTTGCTGATGGTTAACACTACAGCATCTTCTGCTTGCATCACACACCATGTTATCCTTTCCTTCTGGACTCAAGTTCAATGATCAATAGAAATGTTGTTCATAAATGAGTGACAACTTTTGCCCTCATCACACAACCTACTACAAGTCGAATGAAGCCAAATCTCAATTCAAAGCAGCTGTCTTGGAGTGATGCATTTTACTGATGACAAAGTTAACAGTGAGAAATTCACCTGCATAGTATGTGGTGCACAAAAGATTCCTTCAGAAAGCACCACATGGAAAGGAATGACTAATGCACCCCTTCTTTCTGTACCATTATAGTAATAATGAGGCACAAATCCACACCCAAAGATTACTGTTTTAGATACGGCTATGGAGAAGTCACTAATAAGGAATCCCAAGGACTACCAAATGCTGATTAGCAGACATGAGTAAAGAAACATTTGTGGTTTTCTTGTTACAGTTTAAGATGCCATACTCTAAGGAAATGATGGTGGTGAGGCTCTGGACCTTAACTGTAGGAGCAATCCCACCCCTAGAGAGCCTGATGAAACAGGAAATGGGTATCCCAAAGAGGGCCCAGCTTTGGAGAAGCTTTAGTACAACTCCACTGATAGTTTCCCAGGCATCTTCCAGCTCCTCCAGAAATTCAGGGAACATCAGTTCTCTGGTCACCAACTTCAGCTCCACCACTGAGGCAGTCACTTCACTGAGTGTAGGCCCTGGTGCAGAACTCCCTTCTGATTTGGAATCCCGAATGTGAGACAGACTGCCTTTGCATTTGGTAGCATGCCATACAAGAAAGTTTTTTCAAAAGAGGGAAAAAAAGAAGGGACTGGAGTCCACATCAAGTCTGGGCTTGGATGTGTCTGGGAGACGACTTTTCCAGCATCTGCTTTAAGTGCAAAAAGACCTTCCAGAGTTAGCCCTTAAGTTTTGTTTTTGTTTTCTTTTACTGAATAAGCAAAGATGAGATTCAACCAATACTTTTCTAGTTTTAAGTCTCCTAACTTTTTAGAATTTCAGTCTATTTAGATGCAGAAACTGCTGAAAAATGTAAGTCCATTTTAAAGATAATCCATGGCATTATGTGTATAACATAAATAAATACACACCAACTTCCTTAAATGCAGCCTAGAATGAGACACATGGCTTTTATCTTGAAGTGAGCTTTTAGAAAATGAGAAAGAATTTGGAAAAGGAATGGAATGAATGATAAACTTGGAACTAGAAAAGTTCCACTGACCTAACTATCTATCTCACACCTCTCCCTAACCTAATCCAAGCACCTTACAAGGTAGCCTATCAGCAGCTAAGGGAGCACCTCTTATGTACAGGAATCAGCACAACTGACATTGGCAAACATCAGCTCTTTAAGTCACTACAAAAACAGTGTCCAGTGACAACTATATGAAAAGATAATATTTTAAACCTTTAAACAAATTTTAAGATTAAATGAATTTACTCAAAACATATTAATGCTTCTGTGCAACTTAATGCTGCAAAGGGCTGCCAACACACACACACTCAGCAGTTTCATTATTATAGGTAGCTCTTGAAAGGCCCGAGTCAAGGATAATAAAAAGAAAAACAAGACTCATGAAATAGAAAAAACATTAAACACGCACACACCCCACCACCGTTACAACCACCACCACCACCAACAACAAAAAAACAAGACCTTCATTGAAGATAGCAAATGTCACTGTCTGTGAAATATAACTCTCAATTTCTCATGAATCTAATACTTTTATCTAGTCCCACTCAATCAGAAGTTTTTTTTTTATCACATACAGCAAATGTTTAATAGAATGGGAAGTGTGTTTGTTTCATCATGATCTGCATGAAAAAACAAATCTGGGTTTATCTAAAGAGATCTGAAACAATCTAATGGAATTTTTTTTTAAAGAACAAGGCAGCAGCTGTATATACCAGCCTATTTTGGTGACAGAAAATGTTAAAGAAGCTGAGACTTTAACAACGGAGTCTTTTGTGCAGAGTGGCCCAATGGAAATGTCAAGTACATACTGTGCTATAAACAGAGCAGTATCATAGGCACTGAGTAAAGCCAATGGGTCTATTTCAGGCATTCTCTAGAAAAGGCAGACGACATTAATTACAAATATTGCAATTCTTACTTCTAAGCCATGGATCAGAACATGTGGAAGAGATACGCGAAAGAGTGATACTATTAGCATTTAACTATTTAGGATGGCACTAATCAGTCCACACTGACATCTACTCCAGACAAATCCCTTCACTTGGTACATTCCAGCTGAACCTCAGCTCTGTGTGTGTGGGGCAGCTTCCTCCAGCTGTCAGGGACTCTTGATTCTATGTAACTGTATTGTTCATACCTCTCAGAATCTGGTGATTGTAGGATGGTACTAGGTACTAGGATGCACATGGAGTCACTGGGCTACTTTTAAACCATCTAGTCTGTGTTACTCAGCTTCATGAACATACTGCATGGGGAGGAAAGAATTTTCTGTAAAATTGAGAGGAGACATTTACAGATGATAACCATATGTAAATGCATTCAAATGCACATGTGCACCCATATTCTTAAAATTTCCTATTAATGGAATAATATTTTGGATTTCTCTGAATGGGGAAGTACTCTGCGAAAGAAAACAATCACTTTCATTTTATCAAATTAGCTACAAGATAAAAAGATTTTTCTTTCTAAAATAGGAGGAACACCTGTTAGAAAGCTAGCAAGCTTGCAAGGCCAAAAATAAAGAGGATAGTAAGAATCATTAACAGCCAAAACAGAGTTTGGAGATGCAAATAAGTTTTAGAGGTCATAAACCAAAATCAGTATTTGTGATACATCTTTGTCCCCATGGGCATGAGATTTAGAGAACATGTTCTCAAATGACAAAAAAAGACCAAAAACAACAAAATAAAAACAAAAGTGAGAAGAGTGACCAACAATGAATATGATTTTTAAAAGATAACAGAAATATTAATCTTTTATAATTATATATCCTCTGCATTCTTCACACATCATAAAAATGATTTGGTTTAGCTTTCAAATATCACATAACAAAAAACCAAACACGACAGAGAGGGAAGCTGCTGCTGTGGTTTGCAGAAAAGGTCTGCTCAGGAGCAGACGCTGCAGGGTGGCTGCTGAAAGCTCCTTTCATGTGCATGACGGTGGTCTTCTTGGCTACAGTACAAGTGCTTGTGCATCAAGTATAAAATACAAGCCTTTAAACACATAGGTCAGCTTTTTAGCTTTTGTAAATTTTAAAACAAAAAGGATAAATAAGGCACTGTACTTTTTAAAACAAAAACTGCTTGGTTCCAAGTTTAAAACCCAAGGAACAACCAGAATATAATATATAACTTCCCTTACTCAATCTCAGAGAAGGACTCTACAAGTTCCCTTCTCTACCTGAGACGCATTTTCTGACATCTCAAATTGTGGTGTTTTCTATTAATTGTAATTTGAAAGGCTTGATAAGCTTACAAAAGCAATTTAGATAATGCAAAATAAAAGGTTACTTCTATAGAACAGTTTCATTCTTGGCTGCCATCCTTCCATCACTTTGCATCCAAACGTCTCCGTTTGCTGTGGGAAGAGTCCAGCTTTGCCTTGAGCTTTCGCTTTCTCTGGGCCACACTGTTCTCTGGGCCTTTTGTCAAGGGTCTGGTCCGAGTCTTCCCACTGCTTGGTTTCCTGTTGGTGGCTTTCTGGGGCCTGGAAGAGGATTCACCTGACCCTTTTTGCTTTGCAGGTTTCATCAGTGCTTCTGAGGTGGCAGATTGGGCAGTTCGTTTGTTTGTATTTTCTTTTTCTTTCCTGGAGGGCAGGCAGCTCTTCCCAGAGGACTTTTTAGGGATCTTCACTTTATTCTCTTTCAAAGACATTTTTTTCGGCGGTTGGCTGACTTTGTCTCTTACAGATGGCTTCTTGGTGGAAGAGGTTTTGGTGGGTCCTTCAACATGCTTTTCTTTGCCAGCTTTCACTGTCAGGGCCTTATCCTTACTATCCTGAGTGCTGTTACCTTCTGTTCTTTTGCGTTTACTCTGAACTTCAGCTTTAAGCAAGATTTCAGACATCTGCTTTCCTTTCCTTCCCTTCATTCCTTCAGTACTTTTGGGCTTAATGGGAAACCCATCTGCACCCACCTGGAGGGCGAGCTTGGGGGACATCAGAGGGTTGATGCACACACTTTTACGATTCTGCTTACTTTCCACTGCCACACTCACAGGGCTGTCCACTTTCTCATTCTTGATCAATCGCTGTTGGGCTCTGAGCTTTCCTCGAATATTAGAATATTTCCTGAGGATTCGTGTACAGGCTGGAGTGGGCAGGTTTGTGGGAGGGTGGCTATTTCTATCTTCTATGACTTCCTCTATGTTGTCTTCAGAATTAGGGCTGAGGCTGACATCACTGCTATCCTCTGGCTCTGGTTGGTCAAGATTTTCTCGAAATTTAGCACAGAGTTTTTGCATTTTCCAATTATTCTTAGCAGGAGTAGCTCCAGGAAATTTCTTTAAGTGTTTTTTCAAGCGTTCAGCCTGCAATGAACTTGGATACAGGCTGGAAGGAGAGTATTTCTGTAGAGGATGCTTGACAGGGGGAATGTCCCCTGGAAGACGAGTATTAAGCTTCTTCACAATGACCAGAGACCGGGTTTCAGTTGTCTCTAAGAACCATTTACAAACATTAGATAATTTAAAGTCTGTCATAAATAACATCTGAACAGGAGAAAACTTCTGAGCTTCTAATGAACCTTTACATTTCCGTGACCTTTTCTTGCTTTTCCAAATCTCCTTCAGTTTATCGGACCTATTCCTTGCTCTTGGTGTTGGCTGTGCTTCTTTCTCCAACTGGATCCAGCCCTTCTGAACTTTCATGTACTGGGCATTAAAATTAGCGATCAGCTCCTGGTTCTCCTCTTCTGCACACCACTCCACAAACTTTGGCTGTTCATCTACCACTGCATCCACATCCTCATCTAAAGGATCTGCACTCTCAGGAGCTTCATTTTCCTTTGGCATTGGGTTTACCAATGTGGCTTCCTTTTCTGAAGTCACTTTTGTAGTATCCAAGGAGTCCCGAGAGTTAGTATGTCTCAAGTTGTAGTTTGAAGAGGTCAATCGTTTAGGTCTCACTACTAATTTTGGTGGACTAGCAGCATCACCACTTTGACTACTTGACATCTCAACTGAGCTGGATGGGGTCTGGTTAGCATCATCTTTATGCTGGGTGGCCTCATAGTCTATATCATTTACAACTGCCTCCACATTCTGTGTGGGAATATGTCCTGGTTTCTCATTTGACTGCTCTAGGTCCTTCTTACACAGAATACTTTCTGAGAACACATGAGTATCTTTCTCACTCATCTTAGACTGGACATAGATTTCTAGTCTTTCTCCAGGCAGTGACTGGCCAACTGTGGTTATGGGATCTCTGGTAGGAGAGATCTCCCTTTGTTCACTCTTGACTTCTTTTGTCAGCATGTTTTTAAAAGTTTGCCTTGTAATAATGCTACTTCCTCTACTCTCCTGCTCAACATCTTTTTCAGAGGGGCATTCACTGACATTTGGGTTTTCAGTTTCTTCTAGAACTTCTGTATGGAAATTGTCATTTAGAAAGCCCTCAGGTGTTGTCCCAGCAGGGTTGTCTTCTTTTTTAGAATACTTTGCTCCAGAACTTTTAGAAACTCTGATCTCAGAACAAGTAGACGAAGAATCTGAACTTTGATTTCTTAGGTACCTACCAACAGAGGACAAATCTGAAAGCTGACTTCTTAAGCACCTATCAGAGGCCTCGGGGAACTTTTTACCTTTTTTCTTCTTGTCCAGATTTTCTTCAGGTGAATCAATGTTTGGATTACAGGTATTTTTTTCTGAAGATTTTACAGCACTTTCTTCTCCCTCTGGATATACTCTACCACTCGTTGCCTCACCTCTTGCCACCTCATCAGGGGTTTCATTCTGAAAAGTGCTGACTGCCTCCAGGTATGGCTCAGTATGTAGTTCTTGAATAGCTTCAGTCCCAAACTCAGTACTGAAGCTCTGCTTGTGCTCAACTGGTCCCAGATTCAGAGAGGGCTCCCAGCCCACAGAAGAACTTCGATTTTCTGGGCACAGAGGATTTTCTTCTCTACTGACTGTTTCCAGGGGAGACTGAGGCCTAGAATGGACTTCTTCACTGCCTCCCCCAGAAATGCTTTCAGTTGGGGAAATCAAGTGGCAGTCCTGGGGTACACGTATCTCCTCCACATCTAGCAAGGCAACTGGTTGTCGGTCTTGTTCAGGAGGAGACACCACATTTTCTATGGGAGCTGAAATGGTTCTGCCTTCTGGCACATCCTCTTCAGGAAGGCAAGCAGACAAAGGACACACCAAGCTAGGGGTTGTTGTCTCCACCAACCTAGGAGAGCTGCTGGGATTTGGTTCCTCTGCTGTGTGGCAAACCTCAGGCTCTTGAGACTCTTTTGCAGAAGAAGTGTCTTCACTTCCCTCCTTGAAAGAAATTATTTCCTTAGAAGGTTCTTCAACGTTATCTTCTCTGGGAAGCTGCATATCACCTACATGCCTAGGGGCTGAAGTTGTCAAGGTCTGCTTGGGAGTTACATTATTAGCCTCTGATGCTAGTACTGAGCAGCTTGCTTTATCCTGGGTGTGTATATTTCTGGCCAGTGTGCGAACAGTTGGCAGCTCACAACAATCACCATTGAAAAAGTATCCTCGAGTACTCTTTCTGGCTGTTTTCCGAGAAGATAACACAGATCTCTGATTCTCAAAGTGGCATTCTGTTATTGGCTGACTGATATAAACAACATCACACTGGTTATCATAATCATTTATCCTCAACCCTGATGCTTTTTTACTTTTTCGTGCTGTCTTGATGGAAGCTGGTATCATCTTGGTTCGTGCGTGTCCATTAGATGTTTTATGTACAGATGACATGGAGCTAAGGGCTAACCAACTATCTTTGGAATGATCAAATTGGCCCTTGTCACTGGGATATGAATGGTAAGCCATCTTATTTCTTCCTAGTGAGTGAAGATGGTTCTCTTGCTTTGGCCTTGCATCTTGTTCATCTGCCTCTAAATCCTGGTGCAATGATGTTTTTGAGCTACACTCTAAACCATTCTCTTTGTCAGAAGTTTTAGGTGAGTTTCCTACAAACCCTGAGTCCCATGTCTCTTTTGATAAAGCTTTGAGTGAATTTCTTTGAGAAACAATAGTGCTATTGCTCTCCTCACTATTCTCAGCTGCCACTTTGACTGTAATCAGATTTTCTACTAAAGCTGAACTCTGCATATGATCTTTACCATCCTCACATGTTTTCACACTTGGGTCTTGCTCTTGTCCAGTGGTTTGCTCCTCCAAGCTTTTAAAGACATGGTGGGAGTTCAATGAGGAAGAATTAGATGCAGTGAGGTAACCCAGAGGAGAACTATCTGTTGAACTACCAGAATAAAGTTGAGTGGCTGGAAGTTCAGAGGAATCTTTCTGGACAACCGTCAAGGCATTCTCTCTTCTATCTACATAGTTTGTCTCAGAAGGAGTCTCCTTCAGGGTTTGTTCTGTCACACGCAGAGGGCTGTGAGAGCCCAGTGAGTCTGTGAACAAATCTACAGAAGTAGGAGACTTCCTATTGAGGCACATAGCATCAGTTTCCTTGTATCTGCTGCTTAGCTGGGCACAGCCAGCATTGCAAGATGACGCATCCATTGCTCCAGAATCTAAAGGTTGCAGGTCCTCAGTGTCTGGCTGAGATTCAGTGTACAGGTCGCTCAGAACACGAATGAATTGCTTTTGATGATGAGTGCAGAGTCTGACCATAAACTTCTCCAGGGGGGACTTCGACTGATCGTTAGAATCTACCGCTAGTGTTTCTGTTGAGTTCTCACTAGATGGACAAAGAGAAAGAAGGAATTAGTACAATCATTTTCTAAAAAACCAACTTTACATCTTAAGATTCACTACTGTTAATCATATTGTAAAGAGAATAGGCACTATGGCTCAAACTGCTTCTAAATTCACCACAGAAAAAGATAAATTCATTACATACTTTTGATTCAATAAAAAGAGTACCTAATTTAAAAGCAAGAATAGTTTCATTTTTTTGTGACAATATTCTTAGTACCTTTCAAATAATCATTCAGAAAAATTTTCATCTTACAGAGAAGAAATATTTAAATATATCTTTTCCCCAAAAATTACAACTTTTGGTCACCTTATTAACTGTACTTGGTCATATAGCCAGGTTGACCATCCCCAAACTGAAAATACGAAATGCTTTAAAACAGGAAATTTTTTGAGTGATGACATAACAGCACAAGTGAAAACTTTCACACTGTAAAATTTAATTTTATGTGCTAGGTGTGGTGGCATATTCTGGTAATCCCAGCACTCTAGAGGCTGAGGCAGAAGGATCACCTCAAGGCCAGTGTGGGCTACAAAGCAAGTTCAAGGAGAGGCCAGGGATTTAGCTCAGTGGCATAACTGCCTGCCTGGCAAGTGCAAGGTCATGAGTTCAATCCCTGGTGCCACCAAAAAAAAAAAAAAAAAAAAAAAAAAGTGAGCTCAAGGCTAGCCTAAACTGCATAGTGAAACCCTGTCTCAAAAAAAAAAAATTAATTTTATGTACAGAATTATTTAAAATACACAGCTGGACATGGTAGTGTACTCCTGAAATTCCAGCACTCAGAAATCTGGAGGAGGATCATGGGTGTAATGCCAGCCTGGGAACACAGTCTGTTCAAGGATGGCCTGGATTACGTAGTGAGATCCTGTCTTTAAAAAAAAAAAAAAAAAAGGGAAAAAGAAGAAAAAACAAAAGACAAACAAAAAATTAAAATACAATAAAAGGTTGTTTAGGCTATGTGCATAAGATGCATGTAAAACAAACGATTCAGTGTTTAGAACTGGGTCCCAATTCCAAGATAACTTATTATATATGCAAATATGTCCAAATCTGAAAAAATTTCAAATCAAAAACACTTCTGGTCCCAAGCATTTCAGATAAGGACTATACAACCTATACTTCTGCATTAGACTTAAGTATTCCTGTTAAATAACCCTCAACACTGACATAAATTCAGAAACACTGTATTATGAGTCTTGATTTAGAAGTACCTAGAGAGTTAACAGTTTTAACCACTTAACAGCATTTCCCCAGCATCCCTAGTGCAGCACATTTATGTACTGACTGTCTTAAGTGTCACTTGGGCAGGTATCATTTCAACTAGTTACTTCTTGTATTGAATATATTTGATAAAATTGTTTTTATATTTCCTATTATATAATCTTATAAAATTAATGAGAAAGTATGTAATTTAGGGTCATCTTATATTTAAATAGTTAGACTGTTAACTGATTAAGATGATTTCTTAGTAAAACCAATTGGCTGGATATTTGGTAAATGAGGTAAATGTTACATAGGAATCTTTTTATCCTTTTCTGGGGCATGGACCAATAGAGGAATGAATAATTTCATACTTTAGGAATATTAAACAGATCAATGACAAGCCAGACCAAAGCAGCAGAAAATATGTCATACCAGCCCTGCCTGTTGCACTCACCAAACTTTCAATAACACTTTACAATCATTAACAAGAAATCATTCTACATTAAAGAACCTCTTTCAATAATTTTCCTAATATATCTAGGACAAAGTCTTACAGCTTGACCCAGACAGTTTGGGGGTGGAGACAGGAAAAGATGATACCAGATTTAAAACAGGATACAGACAACACCTGCTTAGACAATCAAGAATTTTGAGTAACTGCTTTGTGCTTTTGGATGTCTGGATTTTACTGAGCTCTTGTGGTTGGAGTCTTCCACTATCCTCCAGTTTGACACAACTTCTTAATTTCCTTCTCTCTGGATTTAATTTCCACATGAGACTATTATCTGACTATGAATCATGACAGAACATAGAAGGCAACTTAATAAATGTGTTGAACAGAGTTTGATTGTATCTTCTAATTATCTTCTTCTATTGTTGACTTTACGTCTCATAAACTGCTATAAGAAGGCTTATCCCAAGACAGCCTACATAGTTTTCTACCTTCCCATCCTCCATTGGCAGTGTAGTTACTGGTTATGGAATATGAGACACCTATATTCTGATGTTTACTATTTACAGGATCTCAAGCAAGTATTTAATCGCTGAGCCCTGGTTTCCTCATCTGTAAAATGAACTGGATATTGGTATCTCAAGGGTTTGTTAGGAGATATTACATAACATACATAAAGAACAAACTACAAAAGGCCAGGTGCTCAATTTAGTTCTTCTGTTCCATACTCAGGGAGATTTTAAAGACCTGGTGGTAAAAAACAGATGCTGAAACTCATCTTAATACATACCAAATCGGGGCTGGGGATTTAGCTCAGCGGCATAAGCGCCTGCCTTGCAAGCAGGCAGTCGTGAGTTCAATCCCTGGTACCGATAAAAAGGAAAAAGACAAAAAACAAACAAACAAACAAACAAACAAACAAACAAAAAAAACATACCAAATCAACCAACCCAAGGACTACTAATACACAGTTTTACTCAATGGTGCCATTGGTTTCTAAAAGAGCACAGGTTGAACCACAGAATGAGAGACCACAACCTATTGCAAGTTTAACACTGATCACTGAATTGTGATCAAGAAAAATATCATTACAGAAATATTACAAAAATTTCATGGGAGTGGTACACTTTCAAGTATAGTACAGCAGAGGGGCCAAACTATACCAAGGGAAAAAGACCAAAAGCAACTTGAAAAACACAATGGTTTCCTTACAGTGTTACTTTCTTGCTTATATACTATACTTCAATAAAAAATTTTTGAAATGCAACATCTGGAAAGTCAAAGGAATAAGCTCATGTTTTGCAAGAAAGGAAAACTCTTCTTGGAACAGGCAGACATCAGTGACACTCCTGGATAAGTGACTTAAATCATTTCCAATACCTAGCTGTAATGAGATGTACATGGGAGCTCATCTGGCTTCTCATAAAGCAGCAGATTACCAAGCTCATGCAGGAATCAAGAGGAGGCTGTGTTGATACACCCTTCTGAGAAGGTACTTAGGGACTGTATCTACCAGGTGGGCAGCAACCACACAACATGTATTACAGGACCTAGCACATGTGAGACACTGGTAGGTAGTGCTGCTGTAGGTAGGTATGTGTTATCTTGCCCCCAATACTTAATTATTTTGAGTCTTAGTTGAATAACTGCTTTCATCTACCTTTTAAGATTAATGCATGAGAAAACCTACCAATGAGTGACTATTACTATCATTGAATTAAATATGCTTCAATAAAAATGAGTTAAGGACAATGGTGTACATCAACCCTATCTTATCACCATTTTCTAGATAAGTTTATACTTCCAATACAAAACTAGAAACTGAATCAAAGACCTAATGCATACTAAGCAAGTGTTCTACCACTGAGTTATATCCTCAGCTCTTTATTTTTTGAGACAGGGTCTCCCTAAAGTTTGTGACCCTTTTGCCTCAGCCTCCAAAGTAGCTGGGATTACAGGCATGTGACATCAAAAAATCCCAAAATTTTAAAATATTTCTGATTGGAAGCTCTACAAAATTACATTATTTCTGAATACATTCATTCTTTCTTAATCATCAGGATCATTATCATGTGAATGAATATTGAAGTTAGGCAATTATTTTACTGTACTTTACTCAAATACGTAGTTTTGGGGGCTATTAAGTAAACCTTTTTTTTTTTTTTTTGTGGTATCTGGGATCAAACTCACGACTTCACACTTGCAAGGCAAGCACTTACGCCACTGAGCTAAATCCCCAGCCCTTACTAAGTAAATCTTAAATTCTCTACATTTTAAAAAGTCACACTAAGCTGTATTTTATTAAAATTTTTCTTGACTGTCAAATAGCAGATAATCTTAGCAGTCTTATTTTTACTTTTGTAGTGTATACTTTCATTTACTAGCTTAGAAATCATTTCCTAGAGTTCGAATGGCACTTTAAATGAAAAAACAAAACAAAAATACTCTGAATGAGGGCTTGAGGAATGGTTTTATAAGTATGTCATTTTCTAACAATTTCACATCCTCAGAAACCTTCATTCCTCAATTCCTGATTCTTGTATGTGTCTCTTAAGTTACTAAGAAAGGTGACTAAACGGGATATTGCTACCTTTTCAGTGAATTAAAAAAATATATTCCAAATATATTTTAGAAATACACAAAGGCAAAAAAGGCTGATAAAGGTCACTGGAAAAGATTAAGAAACATCATGGCATCTTATCAAACAAAACAAAACAAAATGAAGAAAAACAAAGAAAAAAAAGTCCTAAAGAAATAAATGGTTCTTTCCAATTTAGGAAGCAGTCATTACCAAAGTCTTTGTTAAAATTATTTTCTAGATTACAGTCCTTTCCTTTATCTATGTCCTGGAACCAGGTTTTGGTGCTTGGAATTAACAATGTTCCTGGAGGTAAATGAAATCAAGGCATACATCCAGTAAGAGGCTAGGGTGCTTTGAAAGAAACTAAGGAAGCATTTTCCCCTAGAACGATGCTAGTGGGGTGAGGGATTTAGCATAAGCGCCTGCCTGACAAGCACAAGGTCAAGTTCGATCTCTGGTACCATAAATAAATAAGTAAATTAATTAATAAAGCTAGCATAGAATAAAAAACTGAATAATAGCTAATCCACATGTGACATCCAACTACTTTATATTTGTGTGACTTAGATCTGCTGTTGTCCCATGATTCATAAATACAATCCTAGGTAGGTATTAAGTATTTTATAGCATCATAGCAAGAGGAGGTATATTCTTGTCTAAAGCATAACAAAATATTATTAGGACCCTAAAACTTTCACCTGGAGTAATGTAGGACAGCACTTAGATGACAGAGTAGCTGACACAAGG